CGACCGAATCCTAACAACCTGCCCTCACCCCTGCCAAAGTTTTCTAAAACTTCACCACAAAAGCAGGGGATAGACACCTTTATTCACTTATGGGGAATACCCTATTTTTTCAGCGTATGAGGCGCACCCATCTATAGGGCGCACCAACCCCGCTAATGTTTCTTCCTCTCTTTACTTAACAAGTTTTTTTTTGTTCATACCCACATTAATACTTGGTGGGAGGTTTCTGAAAGACAAGATACCACCACTTTTTCTGTGCCATATCGCACGCGACTGTGCGAATAGGAACGTATAGATATCGATACAGGATTTGCCAGCGTCTACCAGCACCTCGAGAGCTGGGGTAGTATAGGTATCGATTTGCGTCTGCCAGCGTCCATCAGCGTGCACCAGTATGGAGAAGTAGGAGGGCAACAAAAGCTGGATGAGGCGTCGTAGAATTGCGGCGTGTGCATCCCCATACTCTCTACTCCCTGTTGCTGGTGACCATCGTCCGGCAGCGTAAGCGATCAGGGAAGCACTGACAGACGCTGGTAGACGCTGGCAGACGCTAGATCGATACCTATACTTCTAGGCCCTCGAGACGCTGGCAGACTCTGGTGATCTCTGGTACACGCTGGTAGGCGCTGGCAGATGCTAGATCGATATCTGTGCTTCCCTGATCGCTTACGCTGCCGGACGCTCGGAACGCTAGTGGACGCTGGCGGACGCTGCCACAAAGTATGAACGCAGCCAAATAGCTTCGCCGCGCGACCATCAGGATTGTTTAAAAGGAGGGCGAAACAGCAAAAATGGGCTATAAGAAAATTTCCTCTCAGAGCCAGTCATGATTAGCCTCCTCCAGCGACCAAATACAACTTCCTGACGGGTTCCACAGTGCCCTAGTTCCCTACCTCTATCATTGCGCTTAATGTACAAAGCCGCCAGATTCCCCACTGCCACGTACTGACCCTAAAAATGTAATTAACAATACTTTTAATGTGTATAATAACATCGCTATACTCTTAATGTGTAATTAATAACATTGTTTTGATGCCTGAGCACTGTAAGGCTACGGCATAAAAACCGAAAGCCGAGAGGAGAATAGCGGCCCTGGTGACGTATCGGATGGCCACTTCTCTCCGTTTAAGCAAGAGGTGCGGCTTTAAAGGCAGTTGGCACGGTAATTTCCCAAGACGTCTAGGATCAATACTCTTGGCAGGATAGAATTCCGCGACCCTGGGCAGGCGCTGCATAGCGGTTTCCCCGAGGAAGGTGCCCTTATAAGGGCCCTATCAAGCCGCGACTTTACGTCCCAAATGCCCGCCACGCCCTCCCGCCCACAAATGGACCACCGTTCCTGACGCTCCGTACTCATTCATTTGCTAAGCAAATTGTGAAGCGAAGGGATTGGTATGAAGCAGCCGTGATGCTGCAGCATGCATATATGGGTACACATATGCAGCCGTATCTTCGTAGCGGTGATTGGTAATATGCCTGCGGGAGACTCGTCCGAAATCGATTTACAAGTCACTGAGAACGGAGGTATTTTGTTCGAAGGATTTTGACCGTTTCACTCCGTTTTCGCCATTTCCCCACTAAACAGCGCCCTACTAGCATTTGAGGCTAAGTAGGGAACCATTGTGCCAACTGCCTTTAAGTACCCTCATGATCGAACTTTTCACTTTTCCCCTTGACCCAGCAGTCTTGTGATATGCAACAATAATTGTAGTGTATAACAAAACGGACCATCTGTGTTCGGAGCATATCTCCATTTCCTTCTGCTTTTCTAGTAGTCCTCACGTGTTTAGTTTTGATATGATGGAATCAATTCCTGAATAAACTGAGCAATAACAATAAACTGAAAAAGCAAATCGAAAATTGCTATACTGGTAATTTCGTTGGCCTCCACTAGTTGTCGTGGGAGGAGCGACAGTTGAAAGTAATGTTTGTCGCCCAAATGGCTCTAACAAAAGTTCTGCAGGGCGCACTTGAACACTTTTGGTGCATCACTCAGCTTATGATGTTGCATTTTCTCTCTGCAGTGTTATAGGATTTCTTTCCTACTTGACAAAGCCACTCACTTTTTCTTTGAAATTGCAGATGGGAGAGCTTTTTCCGATGATAATCGTGAAGAAACCTAGAAACTTGTATAATGCAGTGATTTCAGGTAATTGGGAGCATTATGTCTTTACCTGCTGGTCTGTCCGATCCTTACCCATGGTTCTGAGATCAACTACAGTGAACAGTTCTGCTCACAATTTTTGACCTGCGAAAAATGTGCAGGACGACATCATGATAGCGAATTCACAGAATGCGTGTAAGTTTTATGGAATACAGGTTAATTCTCTTTTTTTGAAAATGGTGCATAGGTCAAGTAGCCTGTTCACGGGACTCCAAAAAATCAAGTTAATTTCCAATTCCTTGATATGGACTAGGAATGTATACTTTACAGTGCTCTGTTTCACAGTTCATTCTTATATTTTAGTTTTTTTTGTCAATGTTTTGAACGTATATTTGCGAAGGACATGCCCTCTACAAACACGTGTTAAAGGCAAGTGGCACGATAAATCCCCAAGACATTAATACGCCTAGCAGGACATGTTTCGACGCTCTTGAGCAGTCGCTGCGTGGCGCCTGTTCTAAAAAAGGTACTCCTTGCGCCCTAGCAAGCAGCACCATAATGCCGGATGCCACGTCTGACCCACCACAAGTGTCCGACCGATGCTGTTGCTCATATCGCTTCATTTGCGAAGTACAATATGAAGCGGAGGGGTTGCTATGGAGCGGCTGCGGTGCTGCATGGATGTGAGTTCATACGTGTAGCCGTAGCGTTAATGGCACGATGCCAACAGGAAACTCCTCCAAGTTGCTTCCTGGGTCGTGTAGAACAAAGGCTTTTTTTGCAGGTTTCTGACCGTTTCACTTAGTTTTTTTTCGCAATGTTCCCCACTCTGATACCACCTCTGCTACGATTCTAGACCGATAACCAAATTATTGTGTCTCATGGCTCTAATAATAGTCACCCAACAGAAGCAGAGCAGGTCAATCTGTCATCCTCTGAGTGAAACTAAAGGAGTTGGCTCAGTGCTCCTTTTTGCTGATGTGACATTACTTTGGCTGTGACCACCCAAAACACCGATCTCGTGCGAAAAAGGTGTCACCGATCTTCGACGAAGACAGCTCGTGTGGAGATAATCTTTGCGATGAACCGGTTTTTCCATTCCGCACACGTACAATTAAATGTTAATATGGGTACATATAGTAGCAGAATGTCTCATAATCCTTCGAGAAAAGAGCTCTTTGTTGATTACTGTGGTTAGGAAAAGTTCACCAGTGGACGAATGTTTGGATCTCCTCTCTTTCATAGCACGAACTTTGACCAGATCGGTAAGTGGTAGTACGAGATAAATCCATGGTTGTTCCCACGTAGAGGTACTTGTCGATTTCATTACTGATACAGCAAGAAGTGGGCAGTTTGCAAAGTAACGAATACATCTTGTTTTTTCTTCTAGGACACTTGCGTTATGCATGTTTCTTCTGCTGGCGACCTGAAAAACGAAAAAATTCGTTCTTTGGAGTTGGAAGGCGAATAGTTTTTTTTGTTGCACAATTTCACGTCGTATGGCCTTCAGAATTATAAAAACGAGATTGTTGAAAGGGTTTTTCGGGTAACAAAAAAGGGTCGAAAGAAATCTGGAACTGCAAAAGAAAACGCTTTTAGAGTTCTTATAGCAGCGTTAAGTGGAGTCCAACGAAATATCGCTTTCTTCAAGAAATACCCTCTGCCGCTTTCAGTTTTGACGTGTAGATGCGTTTTTACAGAAGCAAAATTGCCCCATTCGGCAGCTTCACACCAGTCTTCTCAAAATCCAAGTTTTTCGCAACAGAAAATAAGGGGTTCAACTTAAAGACAGTTAGAGGGCTCAAGCAATTCGTAGGCGTCCTTACTTGTGTGGCTTCGGAGGAAGTAAAGGAGGCTTCGCGGCCCTCATAACTGGCAGTTCAACACCTTCCTAGTTGCCCCGCCCACCAGAATTACTAGGTTGTTGCATAAGTTCTTATACACGACTTTTTTGTAAATATCTCAAAAACGACCCAGCCTGGAGATTAGAGGTATGCACCATCACCACTCACTACTCGACGCCAGCGCTCACGCAGCTTGTCGATTCCATCCTTCCAGAACAACGGAGGCTGGGACTTGAAGAAGTCGTCGAGCGCCTTTCTGACCTGATCCTTTGTTTCGAACTTTTTTTCCGTCCAGATAGCGCTGCAGGTGGCTGAACAGCCAGTAGTCAGAAGGAGGCGCAGTCAGGGCTGTAGGGAGGGTGGGCGACCATCAGCCATCCGTACTTCTCCCGGCCTGGGTCGCCTTCGCAGTGTGGGTCGGGCGTTGTCAGGGTGGAAGTAGATTTCCGCAACACCTTTCTGCGACTGTTCCTTTCTTATGAACCAGTCGGATCGGCCGGCTTCGCCGGCCGATCATCCTTACCGGGTGTGAGGTGGGTCCCGGTGAGAAGTTTTCCATGAGAGGGAGGGCCAGTCGGATCGTTACTTTCTTATGAATGGCTACTTTATAGACTAAATGTTGATCGAATTTATTCTCGGGTTTATGATGAGACAATCGTGATCCGCCGCGCTTGTGAGTGTCGCGTTCGATTCGCGCCTGCGAATGACGATGTTCTGGCCGCACATAGAGAAACTATACAGTGTGGTCAACTCGCTCGCCTATGCAGCTTCGACTAAAATTGCCACGTGGTGAAGAAGGATTTCAGCGCTGCTTGATCCTTTCGCACTTCTGAAAGGATTTGAAGTATTGAATATTGGGGACTGCTGAGTATAGTATATTCTTTCTCGTTACCGTTTCAGGGAAAAATCGTTACCTTTTTGAGGGAAACGTCGTTACGTTTCAAAGGAAACTGATGGGATTGGAGAGATTGATTGCTGCGATTGCGCTTTTGCTCACAGTGCTGCTTTGATTACTTCAAACAGTTTATTGCTAGAATAGGAGTATCGAGTAGATGAACGACGACTGGCGATATTGGTCCTTGGCAGCAGCAGTAGATAATGCTCCAGGATGTCTTGGGGCTCGCTTACCGCAGTTGCCGGATCAAATGGTCAAACCGATCACTCTGTGTTTTGATCTCCTATACGGTACGGTGAACCGCCTTCGTTCTTCTTCTGAAATCAGATTGTAACGAAACAATAACGAAAAACAATTTGATTAAAGTAGCATTTTGCTAAATGCAATGTGTAACCAAAAATTGCAGTAAATGTCTATGGTGCCGTAGTCCACATGAAATCTGGTGTTCTGATATACAGACTAATGCAAGTTAAAGAATGCCGCGCTCATCGTAGCGCGAACGGAGCAGATACTACGGTTGTCTTGACCGTGTCCCATTTGCGCTCAGGTTATCGACTTTGTCTGTGTATTTTTAGGTGGTGTCCCACGTGGAATTCCTGTGTTTCTGTAGATGTTAAGTGTCGTACCGGATACAGAGAACACGTGGATTGCCCGCTCCTTTCGCCGGTAACACAATACAATTATTTTATGTTATTTTAGTTAAATTACTGTTCAGTGTTCAGACGCAATATAACGAAACTTTCGCTCGCGTCATCGGAACCCCTCTTATAGCAGCGGCGCAAGGCACGCAAATGGAAATGGCAAGATTTGGCATCAACTTGAACTAAATCATCGCCACTGCCGTTATTGAATCCACTCTGCTTACAGCAGAAATGCATCTCGACACTTCCTGGAAACGTTCAACTACTCAAGAGGTTCGCCATTAGAACGGACATGGTACTGCATTTTGATAAATGATGACGTAAACACTTTATTGCTAAGTATTCCATTCTAATTATAGGGTGAGCGAACAGACGGCTATATCGCTATTGATTACAGTAATCAAGCTATAATTGCATCATTTTCAAGCGTTGCATCAGGGAATAGACTGGTTGGTGAAACTTGTACACCTCACATTATTTAAGATTTTTTCAGATGTATGGCAGGTGCAATCCTGTGCGACATATGAAGTAATAAAGCCATATGATGAGTTTTCAGTTCTACACACATTTCAATGCGGAGTTTTTCACAAACAGACAAGCTCAATTCGAAGGATCAGATGGACTTGTGAACAGGTAGTAACTCGTACCATTGTGGGAGAGGTTGCGTGCCACAGCCTCGGGGAGAGCGAAAAGCGAGGGACTGAAGCTTCCTCATTCTCAAAGGCACACTGCAAGCACATCGTATGAGTGGTGTCAGGCCTACCTGGCTCACTGGTGCGGTCTTCTTTCGATGAAAACAGAGAAAAAGAGGAATGCACCGATGAGAACTCGCTGTGGCAGGCCTGACTTCGACCATGTGGTCGGCGTGAAAGCGTAGTGTCATAACTAATAAAAAGAATAAAGCGATAACGAAAAGAAACGAACAGAGACGGTAAAAAAAGGAAATGAAAGAAAAGTAGAAAGATTTATGTAAGGCTGCGTTCATACGTTGCGGCAGCGTCTGCTACTGCTTCAAGCGTCCGGCAGCGTCAGCGACTGGGAAAGTGTAAATATTGATCTAGCGTATGCCAACGTCCACCAGCATCTACCAGCGTGCTGCAGCGTCTCGAGGGCCTGGGAAGTATAGGTATCGATCTGAGGTCAAACAGCGTGAGCCAGCGTGCACCAGCGTCTCCCAGCGCTCGGGAGAGGAGAGTATGGCCGATGAGAGTGTAGAGACAGCTGGTACCCTCATATCACACCAGAGTCTCTACCAGCAGCCTGCTACCGTCCTATCTCCCCATACTCTGTCAGGTGTCTGCTTCCGCGTCATGCTCTCCTCTTACGGACGCTGGGAGCCGCTGGTGCATGCTGTAACATTCCAGTAGACTGATCGACTCTTACATTTCCCGGCCCTGGACTTGCTGGTGGACTCTAGGAGGCGTTGGCGTACGCTAGTAGACGCTAGATCGATATTTATACCTTCCCAGTCGTTGACGCTTCCGGACGCTCGAAACGATAGTGGACGCTGCCGCAAAGTATGGACGCAACCCAAGAATATCTGAGCTTGACAATTTGGTATGTAGGATCCTTCACATGTATTGAAAGACCAGAGAACCACTCCGAAAAAATTCATCCCATCTTTTGAGTGGATGTTTAGATTCCTATACGAGAGTTGGTTCAAACTCTGGTATGTCCTAGGAATGGAACGAACGCTTCAAACAGTCGTGGAAAACAACAGTGGTTTCGAAATATGGGTGAGAGCACATCCTTGAAGTTCTTGTTTTCGATTCTTTGGCCTTGAAATAACATCGAACTTCCAGTTTATCGGACATTCACTTGGTGGAGCGAAAGCAGAAATGTCGGTTGTGTCTGTCCTTCTGAAGAAGTTGGTTCCTCAAAACAAAGTTCGATTGTTAACATTCGGATCAACGCGTGTTGGAGATATGTCATTTGTGGACCTGATCGAAGCACTGGTAAGAAGAAAATCTATCTGAACAGAGTTAACAACAAGAATTTACTATTCGCTCTTAACTCCCACTTTTTGATGTCTGGGTCGAAGCTTTGATTTATCCAGCTTCTTGTTCTCACGGGTAGTTTGTCCCCCTGAAATCACACTCATTAGTCACGAAACTGTTTGGCGCCCGCGTTATCAGGCCTGATCCAAAATACTGCTAGTCTCCGAACTGGGTGGAAATTTGCGTCTAGAGTCAGTTTGATCCCCTTAGCATGGGTATAACATCCATTGAGGTGAGCTTCACGTGAAGCGTAGACTACAGGCGGTTCGAAAGCGAAGTATAAGGACATGTAGGAGACATACACGCGGATACAATGCAGAATCCTTACTGGTTTTTACGATAGTGATACTTCCTTTGTTTGAGATCAACCCTCGCAAAAAAGACCACTGTGTCTAACTCACTGAACCCTGTGTGAATCGTCAGCAATCCACGCGCTTTTGTTTCTGATTTCAATCGATCTGGTTTTGCAACACATTTGTCCACATTCTAAATCGATACTATGGTGATAATACTTCTGTTCATCTACACTTGATGATGTTTTCATCTGTTTAGCGCCTGATGTTCCAGAAAATAGTGGTCCTATTGGTCTTGTTATGCTTAAACTCCATTTAGTTTTCTGTACGATTCTTCTTCCTGTTTGTCATCATCGTCGTCTTCCGAAGCGTTAGCAACAAGCCCTTCTCCAAATTATTCCAAATAATCCAATTCCTCTTCATCACTGTACAACACTATGTCGTCGAACCTAACACTGAATCCTCTGCTTCGCTCTCTAGATCCACGGATGCATCTTAAACAAAGTTTCGATTTCTATTGATAACGTTCATGCGGAAACTATGCACAAATGGAAGCAGAATGAGCGTGCAGAAGGCATGCGGCACAAAGATTTCCATTACGTAGCTTTGTGCATTCCGTACAATTCAGCGCGAAGAGGCAGAAGACGCAAACGGGAGTTGCGGCAAAAACGTCGCGGGGTTCAGTCTGTTGAGGAATGGTGCAGACGATCAGAATAAGGAGTACCGTCGTGCAACCCGCTCCCCCTTATTCCCTTGATTACCCCATTCAAAGATATACAATTGATGCTTGCGTTCAGGGGTCAAAATACCCCTCTGGGAACAAGTTTCCAGGCAAAATGCTGATCCTGGGGGTATTTTGACGCCCTGAACTATTTATTTGAAAAGTGTCAAATTAAGGATTGAACGTCCCCTTCCTTTATTGACCTGTACTTGAAGGTCCTGCAAGATTGAAGTGCAGTCGGAGAGTATAGTTACCGGCTCGGTGGGGTAATTGTAGCGTTGACCGATGTCAAACATTTTTTCTCTCTATATACAGGGGGGGGGGGGGGCAAAAAAGTCATTTCGGCCGAGTCACATATCAGCGAAGTTTTCGCAGCCCAGACAGGGGAAGTGGATATGAATACAAGGGTGGAAGATACCCAAGATCTTCCTCCATAAGCTGGAGCAGGCTGCCGCCAATCGCCTTCATGTACACCAAAATATGAAGTCATCACCAGTCGCGGCCTGACTGGAGAACACCTTTGGAATTCACGTCGCCTCCAAACAGCTGCGAAACTTCTTGAATGAACTCATCCACAGAGAGCTACCTGGAGGTCAGTACTCTTGATCTGCAAGACCTCCCACATCGAGCAGCTACGGCAACGTCGCTACGGTCCGGGATATCATCTTCACCCTACAGGGCTGACCAAAAAAAGTAATTCCGCTTGAAGCAAATACTAGTAGAGAATACGGAGCCCAGAGGCAAGACTTGGCCACAAGTACCAGGGCAAGACATAGTAAAGATGTTCCTTGACAAGCAGAAGCAAGCACTCGCACATCACCTTTATGTGCACCAGAAGATGAGGCCATCCGCCATCGCAGCCGAGCTGGAGGAGGCCTATGGAATCCGGATCGAGATCAGACGGCTGCGAAACTTCCTGTACCGAGTCGCCCATGGTCAGCTACCTGGAGATCGACACCCCGGATCTGGAAGACCTCAGACATCGAGCGCCGCTGACAACGTCGCCATGGTCCGGACATAATCTTCCAGGAGCCGACCACGACAGTCACGCAGCTCGTCGAACGCACCAACATCCCACGCACGTCTGTCCGCCGGATTTTGAAGAACCAGGGCTTCACATCGG